TGTAAGGGTCACCCTTCCAATGGCATCCTCCCACAGAAGCCAGGCAAATTATTTACGGGTTTTGGACAAAATTTCAATGGAGCAAATATTTCTTTGCTGACTGCTCCAAAGTCCTGAAATAGAGTCCTCACTGAAGTGAGTATTGATCCCTCCAGAGCCCAAACCAAGGACTAACACAAACATGAAAGATGGCCCTCACCACAACATTAATTTAATGCCTGACAGCCCAGAGTACTATTCACAGAATACGACTCTGAAGCCAAAGAGAACCTCACACCTCTGTGGGTTTGATTTTCATTACTTGTTAGTCCAGCAGCAATGTCAAAATACAGCAAAAAGAGGTGTCTAGCTCCCGCAGACTTTTCGGCTTTTTTGACAGGTTACGAAAGGCTGTGAAGTGTAACTTAGACACGAACTTATGCTAGGAGAAAAAACAGACATCAGTTTGTTGCCCTTCACATAGAAAAGCACAGTGAAGAGATTAGACTTTTGTTCACATCGTGCCACACACCTGTATGTTATAAATTTGGTCTCTTTCAATAGTGTTCGGAAGTCAGCTTTGGCAGTAATGTATTTGTCTCTAATGTACTCCTCAAACTCCCTTTGTTTTTTCTGAAAGAAAAAAGATAAGCTTAAAACACTGAATGCAGATTAAGTACTTTGTGCAACTTAACATACTGAATATAAGCAATAATTACATGTTAATTATGTTTTTCATTATCTTTTACATCTTTTTTGAAAAAAATCTTATTTAAACAACACTACTTCTGTTCACATAAAGCAGACACCACGTCAGCAGCCATTAACTTACTTTCTCTGTATCCTGCAGCATTCTGAAAGCTACCAACAGTGTTGCAAACCACTTACCCTGTCACTCGAAGAAAATTTAATGCACCTTGGATCTTCTTTAATGATTTTTTTCACTTCTTTCCATGTTGATGTTAAAGTTATCTTTCAAAAGATGCAAAAATAGTTTAATTAAAAGAAAATTAGATTCTAATAATATAGAACATAAATATTACTACACCTGAAGCTTTTAAATATCTCCCAAGTCCATTGACAAAGTTGTTGCTGTATTTAAGTGCTGGGGTTTGATTATTTATGCTATTACATTCATATTTTTAATTAGTTGATTTTATATATTTTACTTTTCTTTGGTATTTTGAGGTGGCATTTTCAGATCAAAGTCCTCACAAACACCATTTGCATCCCAAAGTCTTTTTCTAGCACATATTTACGTATATGAATGTGTTGTTAAAAATTACCTCCAGAAAACTTGCTTCAGAGTTACATGTCCATCACTTTATTCCATCACACCAAGAGCCTGGCTAATGTTCTACCTACTTTCAACTAATGCGTTAAAAAATGAGGTAGGAACTTTCAGGTTAAAAGAAAGCTATCTGAAGTTGGCACGTAACTGAAAAGGAGCAAGACTCACTAAAGCCCCACTGTACACAGAACAGGTGACAGATTCCCACAGCATTACAAAGACTAAAAGTTCAGATTCAGTAGCACCAGACAAGGTAGGAAACCATCAAAACAGATGAACGTGGTAAGATTGTATACTGATATTCATTAGGGTAAATACTGCTGCAAGGGCAAGATGCCATACAGCAAAGAGTATCAAATAACTCAGTGTTGGAGAAATGTAACATCCTGCAGGACTTAAAAAGACCACTGATTAGAAGTTCAAATGTAAATGAACTGTATGTTAAACCAAAGTAACACTCAAGGTAAACAGGTAAGGAAACATAATGCACAAGTTCTGTTATGAAGAAAAAAAAGATAGTGGTGAAGCAAAGGGGCCCTGGAAATAAAACCACACATATCAGATTGTGTGACAGAAAACCAGAAAAAGATAAATCACCATGGGCTGGCAAAGATTTGAAGTTTGAACGTATATAGCTCTTACCGCTGAAGTTTCATCCAGAAGTTGCCTAAAGTGTTCCCTCTTCTTTTTGGTAAGTGCTTCAATGTGCTCATTAAAGAGCTTCTCTTTCTCTTCTCTTTCAAGCAAGGAGCCAGATTCCCATCGATGATCTTTCCGCAGGGTCCTTCTGGTATCAGACCATGACACATCTGAAGAACGCACCTGAGCCAAAAGATGATCATTTTTTTTAAACCATTTTTTCCTATAGTTCACTGATATTTCTTATATACTACTCAGTTTGGGCTTTTCTCTTTTTTTAAGTTAAGGTTCAAATTAAAGATTAAAAAACCAAAACAAAACAGTTTTTAAGTAAGAGACCGTAGTGGCTTCCCCACAAATACTAAACAGGCAGTGGCAGAAGGAATTACTTCGCTTCAGTTCAAATTCAGACAGAGATACCCCACTGACTTGGCTGAGTATTCTCTCAAAATGGAAAATCCAGCATCCTAGTCCTCTCTGCGCAACATATTAACCCTGAGTGGTCTGGAAAGGCAGCCTCAGAGAAAATCATTTCGAAAGAGACACTAGGAGCTTTGCAGTGCCTTTCTTCTAGCCTAGAGAGCATCCTCAAGGAGCTGCTGCTTTATGTTAGTAGCTACACCACCAGACCAGAGTGATGAACTGCTTATGCCCTGCCCCCTTATAAAAATTTCAGTGCTGAAATGTGGAACCAAGCACTAATAATGTGTTTGAGTTTAATATCTTACACCAGGGAGCAAGGGCATAGTACCCATACTGATGAAAACTCATTCTGCTAATTCCGTCCTCTTAACAGGACATTTGCCACGTCAGAGCTGCTCTCTCGCAGGTTAGCTTGACCAGCAGATCAAAGTAAACGTACAACACAGCAGAGAAATGGTAAGACAAAGGTCCTATGTTTGGAGCATGAAGACAGACAACACAAAAATGACTATTCCTAATGCTCAACAACATCTAATTTTCCAACAGATATACAGAAGTTTACAGTAGCATGACTGAAAGTCTGCCATCACCCGTGAGACGCCAGAGAAGCACAGCAGGA